TTTCAGAGGATCAGTGGTGAGATTTGCTCAGATCTCTGAGTTGTTCCTCTTCTGCACTTCTGTGCCCAGAGGACTACTGATCTGTGCCTGCTCTCAAACACTGGCAGCCTTCTCTGCCCTCAAACATTCTTGCTGGTCCTCACAGCAAGACAAGATAGTTGCCTAGATTTGTTGGGGTACAGGCTCCTCCAGACACACTACTGTATGTGGGTATTTGGTTTGAGAGAAAATATTATGAAGTTTTCAGGGCTCCAAAACCAGATAATGTTAAGACCAAAAAAAAAAAAAGGCAGAGGTGTTGTGTTTTGGTAGGATGCACATCAAAGCATTTAGCTGCAATATTGAAGCCAATGTTGTGAAAGAAAAGTAAAACCCAGAGTTGTGCTCCACCTTGTTTGGGTTGATGTCCCCCACTTAAGATCTTTCACGTGCGCTGCAGCAGCTGAAGCTGAGAGGACAATTCAATTTACAGCAGGTTGTCCTGAGCATTGCTTGCTGCAGTTATACTGTTTCTCTAGGTCCCAGCTGCAAAACCAGCTGTCCTAATTTCACTTCTGTTCTCACTTCACTGAAAGGGGATTCTTTAATGGGCAACATTTATTTGATATACAGCGATTAGTAACTTATGACCTGTAGGATATCAAGTAAGATCGGATCGCTTCCTGCTAAGCTTCTTGATGAGTCTTGAAGATTTACTACGCATTAAGCAGTTTTCCGAGGTTAGCTGAAGCTTCAGCGATTCTGGTGAGCTTGTCCTTATTCCCCTACGTGGCTCTGTGCCTGCAAAGGTCGGGGAGCACATACGGATACATGGTATCCAAATACAGGTTCAAAGGCAGGAGCCGCTATGAGGAGCTGGTGGTCTGCCTGGTGAAAGAACCCTGTCGGTCTGAGGAAGCAACATGCCCGTACATCGCTAGAGAAATACATCTGGGACTGTTTCCCATTTTAGTATTATTTTTTCTAATGCATTTTGGAGTATTTCCAATCTCATTGTCGATTAGATAAAAGTACAAACATGTGCCTTTCTATCCAGATCTTTTTTCTCTAAATGTTCTCAGTACTGCAGTCAGTTTGGGACATTTAAAATTGGCAAGGACAGAGCAGTTACAATGATAATTTCATGGGGTAGCTCTTCAGCATTTGTAAAACGAAGCAGGCAGTCTTTATGGCATTGTTGTTTCTCTATGGCTGCTGGTGTTTTTATGCAGCTATTGTATGTCTACATGTACTTCTTTTAGTCAGACTCAGTAATACAATTACTGTAACGCAAATTCAGGATAAATCTCAAATGTCTTAGATGTTACTCTGAAAAACTAGAAATACCAGGTAGTATAAAATACATTTCAAAGTGCAGTGCAGGATTTGTATCTTCCCCAGTACCCCCCTGGAGCATAGTAACAATTGCTTATTTTCTGTCCAGATTCATTGAAAATTTACGTTGTGAATATATTGATGGAACTAAACTTGATTATCATGTAAGGGGTTATCAGAGTTATTTGTATTTGCTAGAGCTCATCTAATAAGTAAGTGTGGAGTAGTGAAAGAAAACTGTGATAGAAAATATAAACAATAAAGCATAGAATATTTTCTGGTTTCCTTTGTATGTAAACACTTTTTAGGTTTCTCTTTCCTGCAAATAACAGCAGGATGATTTTGTTGCAGCCCATCTGCTCAGCAATGCATATCTGCCTGAATACACAGTCATCTTCCTAAAATAAGCAAAGACTGATTTCCTCAATTATTTCAGTAGGTCTCAAAGTATTGCCTACCACTTACTTCCTGCACTATAGCTTGCTTTTACAGGATAATTTATTTTATTTTCACTGAAAGCTTATAAGCCAAATTAATTTTTAGTAAATTAATTGAATTAGATGTAAATTTCATCCTGTTATTTAAGAGGCTAATAAAGATTTCGTTGTATCTCTGTTGGCCTGGAATACATGTTTAATAGAAGCTGGTTTTAGCTTGGAAGAACAATTCTGTAACAATTTGACAAATTTACATTGTACTTCAGGGAAGGAAATAAAAGAGACTGGCTATGTTAAAGTTTTGAGAGGGTAAATTTTATTTTGAAATACAGTCAGGCTTCAAATTAATCCTTTCTGTGTATTTAAAAAACCTGGGAAATCAATGGGTTCTACTAATAAATTCTTTTTTTTTTTTGTCTTTGCTTTTAAAGCGCGTTTCTGTGCAACTCAAAGGCTAATTAATTCCCTCTCTAGCTGTTTGTACCATGCAATGCTGCAAAGGGATGAAAGGGATTTTTTATTCCACACCCCCCCTTCATATTTTAGTTTCTGCTTCACAGGTCTGAATATATTAGGTTGGTATAATTTGTGCTGCGCTGATTTGCCTTTCAATATACCCCATATAGCCTGCAGACTGTGGGTTTGATGTTTGGCTCCAGCATCTGGGCTGAACCCAGCCTGTGTCAGTGTCAGCTCAGCTGAGGGCTCTGTGCAGCAAGTCTTGCATTTTGTCCATGATCTCATCCAAGAGCTTATCGCAGCCTGTTAGCAGATAACACCTGGAGAGCTGGAAAGACGAGTCTGTGCTTGATACCAGTGTCACATAACTGCCAGGAGCACTGCAGAACACCTCTGAGCTGCTGCGGCCACACAGGCGCTGGCGTGGGCGTTACCTGACAAGTCAGTGTGCTTATGCCAGCCCAGCCTGATGGCCCACCTGCTAGATGGCTCTCTGGGCCAGGTCACAGCACTCTCCAGACACAGCCCGTAGCTACATGTTAGAGATCATGGTGAGATCTTTCCAGGATCAATCACAGATTAGGGTGATGGAAGGAGTGAGTGCTGTAACTCATACAATGCACGTTAGAGTCATTCTCTTATAATATTGTGACAAATAACTTGTATTAAACAAAAATAAATTTTAATTTAACTGTAAATAGTGCTTAAGTATAGTCCGTTGTACAGGGCCAGACCCCCTTTTCACTGTTCTAACTAAATCTTATTTCCATCTGGTACAACACTTGTGTGGTTGTGCTTGCAAGGTCATAAAAGTATGTACGGTGTTGTTTTACGTGGGCTTGGCCAGGGCTTCTGCATATGTTAATATGGAAAAAAACCAGTGTCTTAGGCAAAGATGTCTGTCAGTTTAAAAATGATGCTGATCATGTCTGTTTTTCATCAAACAAAAATTGGGAAATGGAATGCTGTGCTAACAGTAGTGATTCTGGGATGTACTGAAATGGGTGGCATTTGGACCTGGGCAGAGAGCAAGTTGTTTCTGGAGGCTTTCCACAGTCAATGCACTATTCATATTTCCTCCTACCTGAGTTGGGAACATACAGGTCTGTGTTCAGTCTGTAACTGTTTTGAATCTTTTTTTTTTTAACAACTCATATGAAGCTCCATGCAGCGTATTTTGCATAGTCACTCTGTTTTGTGGCATTTGCAGAAATAATACTGAGACTGCTTCTTACTCAAATCTGAAAAATGTTCTCAGGGCAAACCTTGAACAAACATTGATTTCCTTTGGCCACAACAGCTATGCACTGAACCAATATTGCTTGAGCAAAAGTACAGGAGTGGACCTATTTCTCTGTGTTGGAGAATGTGATATGTGGCTGCACAGGAGAGCTTTTGTGTCACATTTCACAGAATCACAGAATCACAGAATGTCAGGGGTTGGAAGGGACCTCAAAAGATCATCTAGTCCAGCCCCCCTGCCAGAGCAGGATCACCCACAGTAGGTCACACAGGAACACGTCCAGGCAGATGTTTCATCTGTGGTACACGTCTTGTGGACTGTTCTGCTGGACTCTTTATAAAAGATAGATCTTCTAAACATAGGAATATACTAGGCTGTTGGTATTTTCTTGCAATAACTGAATTTTCAAAGTGGTGTTTAAAAAAAAAAAAGGTCAATATTTTTCTTACAGATGACAGAAAACAGCTATGGGCCAGAATTCAGGCAATCCTGCAAGAAATCATCCCTTCCTCAAATAGAGAAGGAGAAAAAATAAGAGAATGCAGGGTTTTGGTCTGGGTGGGTTTTGGTTTGCTTGGGAAAGGGATGTCCTTCCACATAAGTTTTTCTTCCTGGGTGTCAAATAATAAAGTTAGAGGGAATTTTTTTTTTCTGCTATGAGGCTGTTTTGTGGGTTTTTTTCTGCCTTGAGGCTGGTTTGGGGGAATATTGAAGACTGTTCAGTTGCCACTCAGTCTGTCCCCTACAAACGATTTCAGGATTTGGCCAATAGTTGTTGCACAGATACAGTATTTGTCAGGGCTTTGACTCTATTAAGAGGCAAAGAATAACATATGATTGTTTATTATTATTTTATACTTCTTCTGTCAAACAAGAAAATAGCCCTTTTCTTCAAACAGAGGTAAAACAAAGAGAGTAACAAGAGTTCAAAGACATTGTGGAATAAATATGTTATGCCTCCACTCCAGTTATAAACTGTGTCAGCTGTAAGTTTGCAGCACAGTAAGAAGCATGCCTGGCTCAGAGAAGTGACGGGGAGAAATGACAAATGACCCTGTACCCTGAGGGTGAGGAGAAGATGGGCTCTCCAGCTCTCCCTGGGCAGAGCTGTCAGTGAGGTGACTGCAGCCCTGAGGCAGAGGTGAATTAGCTTGCAAAATCATCCACATGCACTCATTCAGGGCTAGCAGCAGCTTCGTGGAAGCCTTGGGCCTCTGCGGGAACAGCTGAGTGCTTCTGTGCCATTCCGGTTCCCATTTAATGAAATTGTTGCCAACTGCCTTTTCTTTGCCCTTCTGTGGTGCCTTTGGTCTCTCCTCTTGCTCACGCAGGAGATTGGGGTTTAGAGAGCAGCTCCACCTGGCTGGATGTCATATACCCTCTTCTAGTGTGACACCTTAGGTGACTGTCTACCTTCCCTAAGCCCCAGGCATTGAGTTACTGGTCTAATTCTCTCCCCCTCAGTTTGGTGAGTCCATACGCAACAGCACTGAGGTCTCTCCTGTGCTTATCAGTCGGGTGGTGATCACTGCCTGTGCTTTTCTCAGAGCTTTCCTGACCAGCTCACCACCGTCAGGCATGCAGCTGTGTGATTAGCAGTTGCTGATCAACTCCAGTTTTTCAAGGTTAATGAAGAAAGGTAAAGTAGAAAAAAAAATTGTATGCTAATTTAAAGGTAAGTGATTGCTTGTTTATTTAGAAATAAGGACTTTTTAATCTGTGCTGCTAAACAAATAGAGTTAAAATGGTGAGATGGTATGTGGTGTGCTGTCATTTAGTGGGCTGTTATGTAAAGGTTTTAATGCCTTTTCTTGTCTGTCTGCTCAGGAATACCACGCGTCTGGCAAAATTTTTAGAAGGCTCAAGGCATTAAAGAAAGCTCAGCTAAATAAAGGAGGGTTAACGTGACATTGCAGTTACTTAATCCTGTATTGTCCTGCCATGTGACTGCAGGGATACTGAGGCGCAGCGTTTCTTTTGCCTGGTGCATAGACTGTGCTTTTCCTGTCATCTTCCAGGATCAGTTGCTTTGTTAAATTTGCCATGAGGAGGGGACAGAGGGGAAACAAACTTTTTACAGCAAGGCTTCAAGGCACGGTGACATTTCCAAGGCACAGTGACAGCCTCACAGGATGAAGAATGAATCAAAGGCAGCTCTTGGACTGGTACCAGAATCGTGGAGAACTACGCTCTTAAGGTCAGCTACTCAAAATGAACTGGAAGCATCTGGATTTATTCAGGATAGTTAATCAACTGTATGTTTGACCTTTGCCTATTAAGTTAGTCTTCAAAGCAGCAAGCTGAAGCCGGAAAATTCATGTCAAATGTTTTGCATGTCAAATGTATTGTATAGACAGTGAGCAACTCACCACTTTCTTGCACAGTTTACAGTTTTAATTGCAAAGCCTCTTTCACCTTGCAAATGAAGATCCTGACATAGTAAAGCTGTTAGCAAGAGATGGATGTAAACAGCTTCCAGTTTTACCTCTCATTTGGAACAGAACTGTGATATGTAGATATGCCAGATCTGGTTTTGAAGCAATTTCCGAAATAATCCATGGACTTTCAGTAAGCTGCTTTTTTTTGCTAAGTTTATCACACTGTCCATTATGTGCAGGATTGCATGTTCATACAGAATTATTTCATTTACAAACCTTATTGGGACAACTTGTTAGATGGGGAAGTGATTAGCCTATAGACTATGACAACAGGATATGTGAACGGAGGAAGTTTTGGAAAGCACCGCTATTCCAGGTGGCATCGTGAGGACAGCGGAGAAGACAATGGGCAACTGGAGTGCTATGCAGGAGACGAGGAGGGCAGGCAGCACAGGCTGACCCCATTTGAGAAAGTAATGCAGGACATGTCCCAGAATGAAAAAGTGGTGAAAGAATTAACCCTGGGAAAGAGAATTGGCTTCTATCGAGTCAGAGGAGAAATAGGAAGTGGGAATTTCTCTCAAGTGAAGCTTGGAATTCATTCCCTAACCAAAGGTAGGAAATGCTTGTGGGTCACCAGCATGCTGAGCACCCTAGTTCTGTATATATTCTGTGTGTATTTCTTCTGTGGAAAGAAAGATGCTCTCTGAACCTTTTCTGTTGTTGTTGAGTGAATTATAGATGGGGTCACAGATAAATGCTTGGGTTTGGATAAGGCTTTAAAGAAACCAGGAACATTTTCTCTAGATGGCAGGTAGTACAGGAAAAGTTAATCTCTGCACTTCATGGAGTTAACATATCTCATCCTGTGGCTCAAACAGGAATTTTGCTGAGAAATCGTATGCCTGCTTTACTGACTGAGTTGCAGGTGATTCTTCAGTGTAGAAAGCTGGGACAAGGCAATAGGTGTGGCCTGAGCAGGTGCAGGGAAACGAGCTCCGGTACAGCCAACACAGGGTTAGTGTTGAATTTTCAGTTCATTTTTTTTTTTTAAGTACAGAAAAACATCCCACATGTTGCTTCTAGGAAGAACGAGAAAGTCTAGGTAACTGCAGCGAACACTTCAGTTATAGGTGTAACTAAGAACTTGTCTTCATCTGTCCTCTTATCATGTTGTTGTTGGCTGCAAAGAAGATGGAGACTTCCTTTTTATGAGGGGTTGCATGGAAAAGGCAAGGGGTAATGGATACAAATTACTCCTGGGGAGAATCCAGTTGGACACAGAAGGAAAATTTTTCACGAGAACAGTCACCCATTGGGAATAATCTCCCAGGGCAAGTGGTACGTTCCCCAGCACAGGACGCTTTTAAGATTCAGCTGGATAGGGTGCTGGGCCATCTTACTGTGATTTTGCCAAGAAGAGTTATACCAGCTGATCCTGGTAGAAGCTAGTCAGGTTCTTTTTCACCAGAAATATCTCAAATGTTTTATCTTCAATGTGTTAGCAGCTTTTCTGGTTTAAGTGTTCACTGGGCAAGGAGTTCATTTCTTGATACTAAATGTGAAACTTGTCAGGGATTAATAGTTTTCTCTGAATCTTTGCACACTACTGTCTTGGCTTTTTCTCATAGTCATTTTTTTCCAATTTGATTGACTCTCTTTCCAATCATCTTACAGATGAGAGAATAGCACACACCTCAAAGCCTTCATGCCATATTATCTGTTGTTATCTTCACTAACCATCTCTTTCAGGCCAGGCTGCAGAGGTTTGAAAGCTCACAATTATTCCTCACGTGCAGAAGTTGTTGTGCTGGGAATCAAAGTAGGGAACAGACAACATTTATTTTTTCCAAATTTAAGCCTGCCTATGCCTGAGGGTTGTCTTAAGTGGGTGCAGATTTTTTGGTTTTACTTGTTTCAGAAAAGTATCTCTGTTCTACTTGGCCCACAGCATGTTATTTCCTCTTCTGTTCTGTGATGATTTTTCTTCCAGAGAAAACTGCCTTGTGCTTACTGTTGGAGGAGACGCTACTCCTGTACTGGAACAGGGGGAATGTTAATGAAAGGAAGTTGGAAATTTGATCTGGATGAACCTTTTACCTGTTGAACCTACTTAGGAGACAGGTTACTTTAGCATTTGAATAGAGCTGATGATTGAAAAGATTTGAACTTCAGTGAATACCACATGCTTGGACAAACTAATTACCAAAACCATAGAATTTTTTTCTTGAAAAGGTTCTTTTTCGCCAGAAATGTCTCAAATGTTTTTTTCTTTGGTAGTAGATTTTCTGGTTAAAATGTTCATTAGGAAAGGAATTCATTTCTTGATACTAAGTTTGCAACTGTCAGGAGGAAGGAAGGATGAAGTATAAACATCTTCTGACTTATTCCTGCCTGTGAGCTTATCTGTCCTCATAAAATACGGTATGTGGGTAGGAGAATAGGAATATGCACGCACGTGCACACACTCACTCACGTGCACACACTCATGCACATGCACACACACACACACACACCCCCTACACCCCATCCACAAAGAGCATTCTGTTTTTTCCAGTGGATGCACATTATGTTGGTAATGATGGTCCTGCACAGTGCTAATGAGCACAAGTCTGGGCTTTGCTGGTTGTATAAATACAAAGGCTTCATTATTAGTGCTGTTTGGGTCCCTGTGGTGGGAGGAGGTTTATGTGCCGGGAGTGCTGTTCAGCGCTTGTCATAGTGTCAAGTTCAAAGTATGGTCTTTCTCCTTACGTGTCACCCTGTGTTAAAAAAGGAAACAATTTCTTTCTTACTAAGATGAGCTTTTGTAATAAATACATGTGTGTGCTCTTCTGTAGCCCCTCTGTTGCAGCAGGATACATGAAAGAAATTTTCTAGACGGAGAGGAAAACACTGCAGGATCGCACTGGATGAAGCAGCTTTGTTTCTCACACAAGGGCAGCCTTGGTTGCTTAGAGGATACAAGAAAATTTTTGGTACCGTGACATGTATTGGGTTATCCAGGAGTATTGTCCACTTCATTAACCTGAATTTTGGCACATTTTCTGTGGAGACCTGAAGAGTTGCTTGCTACTGACTGTTAGGTTCCTAAGCTCTGTGCAACTGTTATTTTACATACCTTCTAGCTGTTGAATGCAGTGGGAGAGCACAGCTGAAGAGATGCAGTTAAGAGTATCCAAAATTTACAGCTAGTAAAAAGCCAGTGAAACAGTTGCAAAGGCAGGCATGTCCAGTCACTAGTTTGCTTTTTCTAAGGAATTTTAACTTGTTTCTCTTTCCTTTTGCCATCAGTATACCACTTCTTCCTGAAACTATTTCTCAACCTTTTCCTAACTTCTCCTACAAAGATTTCAGCTAGCTCTTTTCAAACCTCAGGATACAACTGGCATAGTCAGTCAAAATCTCTTGCTACTCAGCTTTTGTATTTTTGGCAAACAGGCTGACTGCTAAAACTGTCCTTCTGTTCAGCACTGCTGCCATGCAAGGGTAATACAGGATTTGTAAACCAAGCAGAGGGAATGAGTTTAATAAAGAAAAGAAAGGTGATGTGTTTTTTCCCCACTTCAGGTGCATCGGTTTTCTTTGCATATCATGCATATGCAACTGCAATGATGTAGATTTAAAGGAGCTTGGTCCTGATTTATGGTGGTGTGTGAACAGAATCAGGACCTTCAGTTGTAAACCTTCTTTTTTTTTTTTCTTTTGTTTTTCTCCCCTTTTGTTTTAAAACATTGCAAAAAAACTGACCAGGAGGAACAGTAAACTCCAGAGCAAAAGGAAAGGGAAGAAATTTAACCAAGAAGACTTTGGTTTTTTTTAAAAAAAAAAAGCCCAAATGACCCCAGTCTTTATAAATCAAGATGTAATGATGCAAGTCTGTAGTTAAGATTGTAAGAATTGTTATCCCTGTGGTATCTAAGCATTTAGCTGTGCAAAAGTTACCTATTGCAAGCTGATGCTTTTTCCTCTTGGTTTAGGTGATCAGTGCCCACATGACAGGGGTTTTAGCCCTTCACCCCGAGGTCAGCAGTCAGCGCTCTGCCAGCATCCGTGTCCTGTGCTGTTACTATTCAGTAGCTGCGTTTCCTCCCAATTTTCCAGGCTACCATCAGCACCACGCAGTGGGTGGAACACCCCCGCTAAGGGGCTCACTAGAACAGGTGGAACAGGTCAGAGAGAGGCATGTGGGGAAGAGCACCCTGTACTCCACACAGGCTCCTTCCAGAAGCAGGGACGTCAAGGGATAATTCAGCACCTTTCATGAGAGCCACATCTGCTTGGAATATCTGCTGCAGTTTAGTAGGGAGATCAATTTACGCGTGTATATTAGTAAGAAAGGTAAACATACCAACAGGGAGTTTTCTTGATCTGTACAGATATATGTATCCCTAACACTTCCTTTAGATATGTTGAAATACTAAAATTGAATTCAGTAACTCTGTAACATTAAGCAATAACATTTTAAATGCTTTTATACTAGAATATGTGAACAAATCTAATAGCATTTTCTTCTCTTAAAGCCATAAGTAAACAATGCTTTTTTGTTTTTTTATTTACTGGAAAACAAGGTGAAGTGGTTTTTCTGAAAGATTCACTAAAAGTGATTAATTGTTAAGAAAGCTGTTAATGTTTGACTAAGATGTTCTTCGGGGAGAAAAAAAAAAAATTTCTTCCTCCCAGGAAGAAGCAGTTATTTTTATTGCTGTGATCCAGTCTAATTTTGCCGTCCTGATAAGTTGTACAAAGCCATTGTAAACCTATTTTAACCAGACTAATCCTTCAAATACCAGCCTTATTCAGGATAGTCAAGACAGAAGCCATAGCCTACTAGTTAATACAGAAATATCAGGGCAATTGCGATTCACCTATTCATAGCGCTCTGGGCTGCTCTTGTAGTGCAGCTGCAAATGTGTATCTGTTCTGTGGCCCTTGGTTATGCTACAGAAATGTGTAGAACTTAACTGGAGATTTGCATTACCAGAGAAGTGTAAGACAGGTACATTTGCTGCCTTACAGGATCCCTGTCACTTTTTCTCATTCACTGGGGTTTTTTTTCCCCTTCCTCAGAGTAAAATCCATGTGATGTGGATTCATGGCCCACTGTGGCATACAGGCATAAAAAATGTAACTTTTCCTGTATTCTGTACAGTACCAGGAACTACTCATACATGAACATGTTGGAAAAACTGTCACAGCTATCCTGAGAAAGACAGACCTTTACAACAATGACTTTAACTGGGAATTTGTCGGGGCATGGGAAGAGTTCTGTAAGTCTCACCAACTTAAGAACACCTCTCCATAATAAACTTGCAGGGTTATAGCCAGAGCTCCTGAATTACCCCCAAATTTGTCTGCCTGCTCTGAAGCAAAGCACCTAAATTTGACACCCCTGTTAGTCTGCAAGTATCAGGCTGAGGCTTAGTCCATCTGAAGAACACCGAGCTAGGGACGAAAGCGCAGACCTTCTTTACTAGCACTGGACGCCGAAAGCAGATGCTGGAAGCGTGGGCGTCAGACACATATTGGTCCGAGAGCAGCGGAACACACTAAGAGCGCAAATGATTTGATTAGCCCTCGCGATACTCCACCAGCCTTCAGCCACCTCAGCAGAGAACAAGATGCCATAGTTGAAAAGGAGCATGGGGATGTGTGAAAGACTGCAGGGCTCAGTACACCTATGCAGCTTAGCTTATACTGAGCCCAAGTGAAATTTTATTGCGCTGCTATAACCAAGCGTTGTTGTAAGTAGTTCTCACTGCTTGTACCTATTGCACTAACAAAAAAAAAGCATTTTTCTTTTCAGAGAAAGTTGCAATTAAGATTTTGGACAAGACAAAGCTAGACCGGAAGACTCAACGTTTGCTTTCTCGTGAGATATCCAGCATGGAAAAACTGCACCACCCAAATATCATCAGACTATATGAAGTAGTAGAGACGCTCTCAAAACTGCACCTGGTGATGGAGTATGCAGGAGGTGGGGAGCTCTTCACTAAAATCAGTACAGAAGGGAAGCTGTTAGAAACGGAGTGTAAAATAATCTTCTCCCAGATTGTGTCTGCTGTGAAGCACATGGTAAGTTGCTCTTCTTCCACAGGCATGTTGCCACTCGTTACTTTAGCAGATTTTGTGGATGTAGCTTTTCATTTTTGGCTAATAGGTTTACTATTACCAAGATTGCAGGCCCACGTTTCTGAGGCACAAAACAGCTAGAGAAGAGCCATCTTAAAGGTATGGGAGAGAGCTTTCACATCCACCTCAAGTTATTGCCTCTCTGTTAACAGCTTTTGGGAGGAGACTGAACTGGGAACGCCTGGTGGGTGGAACCATCCCTTTAGCAAGTGTTCTCCTCTCTTCTTTCAGTTGCTGCAGGCACCAGCTAACAAAGCCTCATTTCTTCCCTCCGGCTATTTCAAAACATGGGATCAGTCACTCTTCCGCTAGAAGGAAGTGTTCCAGAGAGGCTTGTTAGGTGTGGCAAACAGCCAGCTTACTGTTTAGTGAACCTGTGAGACTGGCGCTTAAGAGAGTTAATTCCTGGCCCTTGCTTGGCACAAACCTGTGAAGTTAACACCCAGCAAGTCACTTCCCCTCGGTATTGCAACTGGATTTAGGAACTTTGTAGAGCCCAAAGCCCACTGTAAAGGTGTCAAAGAAACAATTAACTACTTCAGTACCATCTCTTTAGAGCCTTGCGTAGTAACTACGGGTACTTCAAACAGCGTAAGATCACAGCCAGGCTGTTCTGCTAGTTTGAGAAGCAGTATTTGTTAATGTCGGCTCAGGGTGCCCTCCGGTGGCTCGTATGCTCCTGCCACGTAACAGCCTCACGTGGTCAAAAGTAATGCAGTTGCCAGGTCATACATCTAGAAACTGCATTGCAAACTGCTCGTGGCATATATAAACAGTATGCATTTTTTATATATTTTAACAAAATGATCATACGTCCTCTAAGTAATGGATTGGCTTTAACATCTTTTCCATAGGACAGATGTTCAGCAGCTACTGAAACTAACTTCATGTTTTTTAACGTTAAACCCAGACTACCAAGCTGGCCAATCAGAGTTCCACAAAACATTTCACTTTTGCTAAGCCAGCAAATCCATGCTACTTAAAGTCCATAGAACGGAAAATCCCTGCCTGTTATTGATGGCAGTTTAAAAATCTTAGGATGACGGAATTTTTCCTTATTGGCCCCAGATACCGCACCCTGCTACTTCAAAGGGTAGGGCAGAGAGTGCTCAAACACGTACATCCTAGTTATTTCAAAGAGGAAGCTAAACCCTTACCTAATTAAGTCAGGTGTACTGCCACTAAGCAGAGCAAATTGAGTTTGAGGACTTGGCTACTACTGCCATTTCCAAGGGGAAAAAAGTACAAATTACAATGTATGTAATTATTTTATACTCCTAAAATTAAAAGACACCTGCTGCTGCAGCAACACAAAATACCACAAGGCACAAGTCTCTTATCCTTTTCACCTGCCACTGTCTGTTCCTCATAGGACATTAGATCACACAACAGAAATGTAGCAACTTTTCTTTATGTTCACTTGGTGAACTAAATGCTTTCCATGAGCTTACAATATATACAAAAATGAAACTACTTAAAAATAAATTACTTTTTTGTTACTTACATCATTACAGAAATGTAGCAACTGCAAATGCAAGTGTTCTGAACCCTGAAAAAATAGATTTTGCACATGAAGATATCTAATCTTTTAGTATTAAACATGACACTACCACAAATTCTCTTCATGAAAATAGCTGGTATTAGTTAAGAAGTTGATATTTTTGTATCTGTAGAGAACCAGGTTAAATATGTTTAAATACTTTAACTTTTCAATTTAATTGGAACACTTATTTCTGACTTTGTCCAAGATAACTGCCTTTCTCCTGTGTGGTAATTAATCAATCAAGGGTAGTGTCTGGAGAACTTTCCTGTGAATAAGCTAATATCATATATTCCATCTTCTTCTGCAGCATGAGAATAACATCATTCACAGAGACCTGAAAGCAGAAAATGTCTTCTACACCAGTAACACCTGTGTTAAGGTGGGAGACTTTGGATTCAGCACAATAAGTAAAAGAGATGAAACTTTAAATACTTTCTGCGGCTCTCCTCCTTACGCTGCCCCCGAACTCTTCCGAGATGAAAACTATGTTGGCATTTATGTAGACATATGGGCACTGGGAATCCTGTTATACTTCATGACAACAGGTATCATGCCCTTTCGGGCAGACACAGTGGCCAAACTGAAAAAGTGCATTCTTGAAGGGACATACAGTTTGCCTCCCTGCCTCTCAGAAACTTGCCAGAAACTGATAAAAGGGGTCCTTCAGCCAGTACCAACTGAACGATACTCCGTCAAACTTATCATGAACAGTGAATGGATGCAAGGAATACAGTACCCCAAACCTTTACATCCATTTAAACTGGATCCAAGGTATTTATCAGAGGTCAGTACACTCAGAGAGGAGGAACTTGAAGTGAAAAAAATCCTAGAAGATCTGGGAATCACAGAAGAGCATATTCAAAATAACCAGGGGAGAGATGCACGCAGCTCAATAACAGGGATCTACAGAATCATTTTGCACAAGGTACAGAAGAAAAGGGCACTTGAATGTGTTCCTATCATGTCCCATCCAGAGCCCAAAGAACAGGACTTGAGGAGGGGGATCTGTTCTTACAGCGGGATGAAGCACACATCCAAGCTGTGTTCTCTTCTATAAAGTGCACTGCAGGCTTTATACGTGGCCCATTTAACCAAGGGTTTTATTCACTTTTCACAAGTACTGGTGTTACATTTTTTTTTGGTAATTTTTGAATAAACCAAAAATGCCTCATCTCCTTTGCATTTCTCAAGTCTCAGCAAAGCACTCAAACACAGAGCCATCATGCATTTTGTCCCTTGTTCAAGAAAGATGGTATAGCCAGTACAAGAACCCCAGTAAGTCCAACAGGTAAGGGGAGCATTAGTGGAGGTGATCTTTTCGTAAAAATCAAATAGTATTGTATGTAACACACTTGGGAGACTCTCGGTCTGGGTACACACTAGCTAGCTTCTTGAAAAGTTGTGCTTCGGCTTGACACAGCTTCACTACTGCAAACCAAGATGGTTTTTGCAGAGAACAATTTAAGCAGAAACCAGGCCACGATCTAAACAACCACAAATTCTTTAAAACTTCTTCAGCAAGTTAAACACACATGTAGCAGAGCTGCTTCCCCACCGCTAATTTTATTTAAAGAAACAGCCAGGCTGCTCTTGACCGCAGTTCCTAATTTGTCACAATTCAGAAAGACAAATTAGGGTTAACTGCTGTAACTCTGCATGTGTAGTTGCAATTCCTAGTGGGTAACTGAGTTAGCACCTAACCTGACACCTTCTATTACACGCACAATTCTGGCAGGTCTAGAACTGCCTGGACTTCTGTTGCACTCCAATGATTTAAATACATTCCAAACCTCATGTAGTTTTAAAACTCTTGTTTTAGCAGTAAGCTGAATGCAACCAGTAATGAAACTTGCTTATATATTATTACAGGCTTGTGCTAACTCCTGCCATACTGCCTGGGCAAAGGCTGGCACAAAGTCGATTACAACACTCTTGCCACTGCAAGTTTAAAAGTTGGATAGCCTGACAAGTCCAATTGCTGTGGGCATCACTAAGATGTAGATACTCAAATTTCCAGCTCTAAGTGCTTGTTTTATACTTTAGTCTTCAACACCATCAGCTCCAATGCAAATGGTGGAAGGGGGGAGTATCTGTCCTCTGAACAGGCATAGCTGACATGCCCAAGCTATAAAAGGTAAACTAACAAAAGGTTTAGAGAGGTATAGTTGGTGCTTTTAAATTTAAGGGCAGGATGCATTATCTGTTATGTGGACCGGTATTATGTGGACTAATATAGATGATCAGTTGATGTTAGAAAAGAGTAATGTCAACAAGCAATGGAATGACTCTGAAAAGCCACTCATGGGAAACTGGACTCAGTGAGGCTCAGGTAAGGACAAGGCAAGAACCAATTCCCCTTTCATTTTTTCTGAGGGGCTTAAAACAATGCCATCTTTCATAAGATGGTAATAAAGATGAATAAAGGTGACAAGGTAGGAATTAACTCCTCCACTCAAAGTTTCCATATGAAAGCGTATTACTTTGAAACACCTGAAATAACAGCTTTGTGCCAGCCTAAGCAACTCTTTCTTTCCACTTTTGTAGTGGAATGGAATGACAGAAGAAACATCCAGAAGGTCCACACAGCTTGTGAACCCCCTCAGGTTTTCACAGAGCCAGTTTCCTCTTTCTTTCCTGTTAAAGAAAAAAAAATGCTTCCTGAAAACCCAACAAGTCAGCACTACTCCAACAGGTTTCAAGTATCTCAAACTTTATTTTAATAAAGGATCAGCCTCACAGACTGTGAGGTCCCTGTGGTTAAGTTTGCGCCAGTAGCTCACTTCTTGGCTTGTCCACTGCCAGCAATGGACTTTGTTCCATGGCAATTTGCTTTTCTGGTGCTATGATAAAGTTTCATGAGGGCAACCTAAACCAAAATGCTTGCAAACACTATCGCCATGCATCATTGCTCCATCATTTTCAGCAGAACAAACAGATTAGTATTCAGCAATTTATAATAAACAACTATTTTACCAAGGCTTGACTGTACAAACACAGCAAGTTGTCAAATCCTAGTAAATCACAGATAATACAAACACTTCATTACACACAAAAAAATTGTAATTTAACAGACAAATATTTTTGCTACTTTATATTAGATAATGTAGCTTTGTAGAATTAGCAAAGAAATAAATTCAACAAAACTTCATTCTGTACATTACCTCAAGTATATATTACAAGCTTACAAGGCTCATGTCATAGTTCATTTCCAATCTGGGCATTAAAAATCTACCAGAATGGACTCCCCATTAGCACTTTATATCTACCACTTGTAAAATGGATAGCTTTTAGCTTGCATGTTGGGACAAAAAAAAAAAAAAAAAACAACAACAAAAAAAAGAGACCCCACTCTTACAATATTACCAATAGTGAGAAGGACTTCAAAGCACAAAGCCAAATTCAAAGTTAAGAAATAGTCTTTCAGATATGTATTATATAGGGAATAACGAGAGGCCAGAGCTCAGACAAAGTGATCTTCCTCCCTTGCTTCATTTGCCAGTTAGAACAGCTCAGTAATATCTAAGAGCTTTATTTGAAAATTCCGCTGCCTTAGATACTTCTACTAAACAATCCTGGAAAGTGCCAAATTACTGAAATCATTTCTGAAGAAGAAATAAATTACTACCCCCCTTCTTTTTTCCTCTTTCCTCCCAGGCTGCTGTAATTTATAATGCAGGTATAAAGCACATAATATGGATGTTAGGAGGAATTATGCAGTAACTAACACAGCGGGTCACAGAATATCTTGGAATAAAGCCACTTGTCAGTCTAGCTATCATTGATCCAGTCTCTTGACAGGGGAGAGAGCCTCTATTCCAGCAAGAAATGTTACTTGGTTTTATACCTTTCCCAAAGCAATGGGGTGATAGGAGGTAGGCTGGGAGAAGAAAGAGAAGGTGATAAAGAGAAAAAGAACTGCAGTATTCAGAAGACTGAATGCTTCCTGTCAAGGCACTGAGAACCCTAACATTAAAAGCTGGGACTATTTTGCCACACACTTGAGTACAAGTAAAAGTTAAAGTGTAGGTTTCAAGTAATTTTACATAGAAAGAACAAGCAGAAGATTTTTCCCCCTATGTAGGTAGACCTTGTAATAGACTACAGCTACTACTCAGCAATTAGAAAAATTCAGACATATTAAGAAATCAACATATCCCCTGGCAAGTCCCGTCATCCCCATTATATTCATGATCTTAGTGTTCTGAAAATACTACAAATATCAGCACACCATAGTACGACAAATATTTTCAAGGAGCGTGAACAGCTTTTCTGTGCTCCAGTGAAGTACTACTGTATACTGAAACTTTAGTATGACTGCAAACCCTTTTCTCTCTCTCAGCCTACCCTCACACCTCGTTCCACTCCCCACCTCACAGAGGTATCTTAATGCTCCCCATTGGAAATGGCAACAGTAACGCCTTCAGATTCTGTTGTTGCAGGGATTCTTGGCACTTTCTTAGCAGGGCTTGGGATGTGCTAAGAAGAAGGGAAAAAAACATTAAATACAGTTTTCTAGTTCACAGATACGCATACTTTATGGCTATTCCAACTCTCAAACAACATTCACACCACTGGACGGCTTGGTCTTAAGTCAATTGCATTGGTCATGCTTCATGCAAGCTTATCAGCCAGTCTGTTCTTGTTCCACTCTTGTGCAGTTTCATTCTTGTTATGATGAAATGTTCTTTTTAAATCCCACTTTTTTTTTTTTTTTTTTTTACTTCTGGCTTATATGTTACATAACATTAACAAAGTATTTACTGTAACTTGTTAAATGACTTCCTCTTAACATACGTGCACATGCCAAGACAAACACATAAACCCCATTCCACCATTTACATCAAACTTTAAAAGAGTGCTGAGTGTTCACCTCATGAACAACGCCTGGGTGGACAACTCCAACTCCTGCCTCCAGAGGTCCATCACCCATGAGTGGGCGCCGTGCGTAAGTTCTCCTGTGTTTTTCATCCACGCGCACCAGGTACCACGTTCCCTCAAAGAGATCTTCTACCGAACACTGCGGAATATAGTTGGCTGTAAAAGAGCCAGTAACACTCTGTTAGTCAGTTTGTAGCAAGAGATTTACACAATAGAGGCTTTTGCAGTCTGGACGCAGTAAGACAGAAAGAACAAGTCTGCATTTTCATTTCAGCCATATTGGGCCAATGAACATTACTCAGAAGTAGAAAGGGTTGGACATCTTCATTCTACACCTTAGTTGTTTAAAGTCAGGTGAAATAAGTGATGAGGATTTTGCTCTAAGACTAGGAACAACGTACATTTATGAAGTTCTTACCCAAATGGTGTGTTTCCTGTCTAATCATCATGTTTTCAGCAAAGACATCAGGTGCAATGCATTTTCTTGAGTCAAGTCTTGTTTTGAGATCAGAAAGGCTTGCGGTTATTTTGTCCAAAGCAGAACCTACAACATAAAACCATCATGTACAGTGGCACCAGTGTCGAGAACTGCACGCTCACATATTAACATTACAAGCCCATTAAAAATATTTTGCATCACAGAAGCTAAATTTTAAGTCATTTAATAATATTCCCAATCAGCTAAAATGAGTTTGAAAATTATTATTTATTTGCCCAAGGAGACAGATAAACACTCGTTGGGCTGGAACATCTTCAGTTTAGCATTACTGTCATTAGGCATTGCTCTTCAGGTTTACCTATGCCAGCGGGTAGTGTAACCAGACATTTAGGGGTGAGATAGGCACAGGAGTAAATTAAGGTCTCTTCCTTTCACTCACCAGGAGTGGCATCCTGCGTAACTCTGACGGAATACAGTGTAGCAGCAAAACCAGAGCCATAGGAGAACACACTGATTCTCTGTCCTGCGAGCTGCTCTGGAGAGTACCTGCAAACCAATCAGCAGTTGTTTAAAGTGAGAATTAAGTCAAGGTGCTCATTTTAAATAACTAGGAAGTGCAGCTAGCCTAGAAGCAGCAGCCAGCAAATTATAATGACTACAACACACACTGAGCATGCTATGTGCATAAATGAGACTTTAAAGAAACCCACAATTACAAACACTGCTACTATATGACAAGT